ATTCCTTTTATTTGTCCTTTATCAACTTGAGAATGCTCTTGAAATTTCCCCCACTTAAAGTATTTAATATTATTAATAGACTTATGGACATACTAATCATTGAAACCAAGGTAGTGACTATTTTTTCCTAAAAGCTGAACTGATAGCACTACAGATAGTTCAAGCACAGTATGTCTTTTCTATTTCAAAGTTGTTCTTAACATTTCAAAGATCTCTAAAGAATGCAAAAATTCTCAACAAAATACTGGCAAACTCAATCCAAGAGGACATCAAAAACATAATAGAACATGACTGACTGGAATTTGTCCCAGGTTTGCAAAGATAGTTTAACATATGACAATCTATAAAGCCCAATAATAGAATGAAGGACAAAAACACACAATCATTTCAATAGACATAGAAAAAATGCATTTCAAAAAATTAAGGAATTCTTCATGATAAAAAAATTTTCAGGAAATTAGGTATAGAAGGGACATATCTCAGCTCAAAGACTGTATTTGACATCCTAAGTAGAGAAAAACATGAAAGCATTTCCTCTAAGATCTGTAGTAAAACAAGGATGCCCACCTACCACTTATTCAACGTATTTCCGGAAGCCTTAGCCAGAGCTGTTGTGCAAGACAAAGAAATAAATGACATTCAAAATGGAAAGGAGAAAACCATATTATTTCTGTGTGCACATCATATGATCTTCTACATAGAAAACCCTAAAATCTTCATCAGAAAATTGTTAAACTGACTAAAAAACTCAATGTAGGATTACAAATGCCAACATAAATAGTAGCAATTTTAACACCAATAACAAACTGGATAATCAAAAATCAAAATATCAATCTCATTCGTAATGCCCACAAAAAAATACCTAAAAATAAATATAACCAAGAAAGTAAAACATCTCTATAACAGGAATTACAAAACACTAGTGAAAAAAATTACACATGGCGCAAAAAGAATGCAACAACATTCTATAACTGTGGATTGGAAGAATTAATATTTTTAAAATGTCTGTACAACCCAAAGCAATCTATAGATTCAAAGGAATCTCCGTAAAGTACTAATTCTTCACAGAATTAGAAAAACAATTAGCAAAACATTCATATGGAACCATAAAAGTTGTAGAATAGCCCCCGCCAATTCTCAGCAAAAAGAACAATCTGAAAGCAACACACTATCCAACTTCAAAACATAGTACAAAACTGTTAAGTCACTCCAAAAAAGCGCAAGAGACATACTTCAAGACATTGGTATTGAAGGAAAAAAAAATTGGAAAAAATCCCAAAAGCAAAAGGAGCAAAAGTGAAATTTGACAAATAGAATTATTAGAACTTTTTAAAAAACCTTTAAAAAAATAAATGAAATAATAAGAGTTAAGAACTGTTGTGGCTCATATCTAGATGTCCCCGAAGCTCCAGGCACTCATCAGTGCAGCTTTTCCAAGTCAGCTAGATGTACGGTGTGTTACACTGTTAGTAAAGTCCACAGATATTATATGGTCCACCGATGGTTTATCGTAGTTTGGGGTGAGAATAGTGGGAAGAGCCTAGTATGGGTGGCACCACACAAAAGGTTTGTAGCTTGCATGGGATGAAAGGAAAGAGAGGCTTCCTGCTACTGCCTCCTGCTTACCCTGCCACGGACTGGTTCTCTTCTCTGATGCCTCTCTGCCGTGCTACCCTGCTTTGGAGCCAGCTGACTACGGACTGAAACCTCTACAAACTGTGAGCCGAAATAAACCCTTCCTCCTTTCACTTGTGGGTGTCTGGCATTTTGTCTGCACAACAGAAAGTAACTAAGACCCACCTTGGAAACAAAGTGACCTGAATCTCTGGTGCCTTGATATTGGATTGTCCAGCATCCAGAATCATCAAAGCTAAATGTCTATAAGTTATGCAGTCTGTGGTGTTCTGTTATAGCAGCGTGAGTGGACTAAGGTAAGAAGAATTCACTATGAGGTTTGACTTTATTCAATTGTGAGAGCTGGTTAGAGCAGGCAGTTCCCAAGGAAAGGTGATATGAACTGAGCGGAGGAAAACAGCGAGAGCAGACCCTGAATTTAGGACTGGTGAGCTGCAACCTGCAAGGATGAGTCAAAATCCATGCTGGTCTCTCATAACCTCAGAGGACCTACCATTGATATTTGGACCAGAAGCAAAAGCTGGTATCTTCTGTAAAGAAGGTAAACCCATTCGTGTTCCAGGAATCCCGGAAGCTAAAGGAAGGGATCCAATCTGGAAAAGCCGGTGGGTCTCATTCTGATAAAGTCAGCCAAGTAAGGGGTAAGTGACAGTGTCCAAGAGAGAATGTGACTGTGATTTACTCAAACCATTCAAATCTCATGAAAAACGTTGCTCTTCTTTTGACCCCCAATCACACCCGGAACTAGGCAGATAATGCAGGAAGAGAAGTTCCGACTCAGTTAAAATGAGACAAAGGACATATGGAGACCTCGTGAGTAATATTTGATGAATGGGGGAATGAATGAATGCGCAAAGGAACAGTTAATCAGTTTTAAAATGTAGTTGCAGTGAATTTCAGATCTCTAAATTGTCCGTGCTATTTCCCCAACACTTCAATGAAATTTTCTTTTGTTAGAAAATATATTTGTCACCGATGTGTATTTGTTGGAGCAAGCCTCTTACTTTATATTTCACCCTGAAAAAAATGCCATCACTGGATATTTGACAGAATTTTTGTGTGCTTCAGTCTCATCCCGTTTATTGGTGCTGAGGAAGATGCACTGCCTTCGTTTAACCAAGCGTCATGCTTTCTCCTGCGTGTTGTGATTACTCGAAATGTCTATCTCCACACACAAGAGTAATCAAGCAGCATTTATCGAAAAGGTTCAGGAAGCAATAAAAGATAATAAAAGCTGCATCTTGTTTAATGGAGCATGTGATGTTAAGTTTTTAGATAATGAGAAAGAGGAGGCAAGGACAGATAAGGGAAATAAAGATTAGCTGCTTTCTCTCACTCTCAGCCTCAATTGTAATACATTTATTACCAGAGAAGAATCTATCAGTGGAAAAGTACATATTTAAGAATTACGTGATGACTGATAGGTTTATTATTAAATTATTTTCCTGCATTCGTTAATTTGGATGTAGAAGGTTAATTCATTAAGAGTAATTCAACTATGCTTTTACACTGAAGTATTCTTTACCAAAATACAGCAGAGTTCCTGTGTCAGGGATTCTCTTATGCGGTAATTCTCAGATGAGCGTGGTGAAGAATTTTCAGGAAGGTTTAATAAAGCATAGAGTGAAGGCTCTACTCCCAGAACTCCAGATTCAGTAGATGTGGGTGGAACCAAAAATTCGCATTTCTAACAATCTGCTGTGACCCATTACTATTGCCATTCGGGGGAGCAGACTTGGAGAGACATGACTAGATTCCAGCCACCTAGAGAAGTTGTAGAGTCTGTATCTTATTTGTCAGGATCACTTAAAGGTATATCATGCAGGCACCTGCAATTAACTCCACAATTAAAGTGCTTATTATCACAAATGGCTAAACACTAAGCTATGTGTCAAATCACTGCACAACCTTAAGTTAAAGCATCTAATGTGTGTCTTATTATCCAGCCAATATAGAAAGTTGAGCCAAGCATTTGAAACCCTGTTTAAATAGCCACAGTCACTCTATCTAGTCAACACAGCAGTGGGGCTTGCCAAAAACCTATAAAACTAATGGATTTGCAAGAAAATTACATTACCTTTAAATCTATGCTGGTAACACAGGTGGCATTTATAAGAAGAAGAGAAATTGACATTAGCACAGCCTGTCTCTGATGCCTGCCAATGAGTAGCCAGGCTTTGCTACGGAAAGATTGTCTCCCTTCTAGTAATTACTGTAAAATACCTGAAGTTAAATCTTTTTAAGTAGTGTAGTAGAAAGGACAAGTGACTGTCCTAAATAAGATGTGAATTAATAGTCTGAGGATATCTCAATCTGAGTATCATAGGAATGTGTCCTGAAGGAAACAAATAGTCTAAAAACTGTACTTTCTTTTTCTATTAAAAATAATTAAAGGAATTCAGGATCTAACTCAAATAACCTTTGCCCCAACACCAAGGAAGCCCACAGAAACTGCAGTAAATATAAAATAGAATGAAAAGACAGATGAAGACTCTCACCTCTGGCTGCACGCATAACCTTTGCTCTGGGGACATACATTACTTAGAATTAAAATTCTGATAAGTGATATAAAGAGTTTTCAGGGGAAGATATTGGTGTGTGATCGGACCATCTGCCTTTAATCCCACTTGCATTGCCCAGTTGGTTATTCAAAACCGATCCTGGAGGAACGATCCTCACTTTGAAAACTGCAGAGGTACAAGTAAAGCCTACAAATAAAGTTTCGTGAACAATGCTTTCCTGATCATCTTGGAGAAACAGGAAGTACACAAAGCACATAAGTACGGATGCAGATATACTTGTGTATAGGGTTACCCCACACCAGTATAAAACAGTGATGTGAAATCAGCATATTTCTTAAGATCTCATGGACTACAGATATAATCAACCACAAGGGACTCCAACATAGCAATGGCTTGTCTTCCACAGATTGATCTGCACAGATGTTCCACTGACAGAGGCTATAGGCGTCACTTGTGTTCGAACCTCCTTGTATTGCCCTCTGTGAGCATTTTCATATCATACATTAAAAAATTGGAGAGAAAAAAAAAACTGTGGAAGAGCCAAATCAGTAATGAAATGTTCTGTGGTAAGTTTGAGGAGCTTACATGGCTGACTGTGTGTCTTGAGGATGACAAACAGGAAGAGTAGGTGTGGGCAATATCTGTCTCATGGGTAACTAAGACAAAAGTTCAGATAAGAGTTCTCCTATGATCTTTTTTCTAGGAAAAGAGGTTTTGAAAAGAATATCCATGCATAACTATGAAAATAATTAGCTACAGACATCTTGTTTTTAGAGACTGTATTAGAGTCCTCAGGCATCATAACAAAGCACCGTAGACTATTACCAAAAAATGATGCATTGCTTTTCATATTTATTGAGGCTGAACATCCCAGATCAAGGCGGGGTATGGTCAGATTCCAAGAAGGGCGTTGCCAGGCAAACATCCTCACACACCCTGAAGAAAACAATCCTTTTCCGCTTGTCCTGTGTCAGACAAAAATACCTCCACAATAAACCCAGTGGGTGTCCAGGAAGCCTCTGCTGTAAAACAAGATGTAGGGTGGAAACCAGGAAAATGAGTTTCAGCCACGAAGTATACCATGTTAACCTCCTCCTTACCCCCAGATTCAATATCATTCTATTACCCATGTTACACTAGAAAATGTCTGCCAACCATACGCCATCTTGGTGCAGTGTTTCTGACCTAGATAGGAACCCACTCATATAAGGAATAAAAGAAGGTAGTTTCCATCTCCAAGGAAGAGGTCTCCAGTCTCTTGGAAAAGTCATCAATAATCCTTCTACTCATTACTTACCCTCCCACACACACACACTCCTAAAAAAAGGCTCAGTTTTTGTCCAATTTGAAAAGCTAAAATGTGAGCTTCCGGTTTCTTCTATTCTTGGCCCAAAATAAAATAACTTCTTTCATTGCCCAGTTGGTGCACAGTGTCACTATTGTTCCTGTGACTCCAAGATGGAAAACAAACCCAATTTGGGATTAAAAGAAATTGTGACAAGGGTCCTCTCCTGACCCGAGGTGACTATTAGCTATTGTCTAATTCCACTCATGTCTGTGCAGATGCCTTCTTGGAGAGAGATACAGTCCTCTAGAACTTGTTTGAACAAGGACACGGATCCAACCTGCTCAGGGCCCCATCCTTATGACTGTATTTCACATTAATTATTTTCTTACCCTAAATACAGCCCACACTGGTGGTTAAGGCCTCAATAAATGCAGGGTGAGGGGTCAGATATATTCAGCCCATGATAGGTAAAATTCTCATAACTATCTTCCCATTATTTACCTGTATATTATTCTAACGTAATGGCATTGTCTGTGCTTACTGTGCTTCTGAATATGACACTCAAAACCAAAGAAAATTTAGCTTTTGAAGCAATATTGCTTTCTGCTTCAGAGTCTATTAATTAGTTCTTACACTGACCATGGAGGGACATGAGCATTACCTGTCAGAGGAGGGAACAGCCATGTTCCTTTCTGTCACAGCTCCTAAGAAAACGAAACAAAACAAAATGTAACAAAACAGAAGAAAACAAAACATGAACTCCATTACAGTCTTATTTTTGAACAGCACCTGAGCTAGAAAAAACTTGGTTGTCTAAATTACATACTAATATTTGTTGACACAGAAATGTAAAGCAGCATTTATTCATTTTTTTTCTAATCCAAGTTTCTTCTAATCATGTTAACTACAAAGAAGGTAGATGATATCATTACATAAGCAATCAAATGATTTGTACAATTTCCTTATTTCAAACACAAGGCAAACATTTTGCAGTACAGACATTTCCCACCCTGATTGTAAGTTCACCGTTTGGTCACTGTTCTTGTGTCTGAGCCTTTAGTTTTCTTATTTACTTCATTGATTTAGTTTTTGTTTTGTTTTGTTTTTTTCCTACAACTCACACTGAACACATTTTCCTGTGCACCAAACAATGACGTGGTGCTGTTCAATATCATTCCAATGTGAGTTTGGTCCAACACGGCGGCATTGAGGTCTGAGACCAGCATGACAGTTACAAACCCAGGGCCAGGACACAAACACACCTGGAGCACAGAGACACAATGTGCATGTGTCTGGGATAGAAACGGTGCCCCTGGAGCAGCACTTGGTCATGGTTGGAACTTTGGGAGAACATGTAAAGATGTATAAAAGAGAAGCTCAAATAAAACACTATGGGAGAAAAATCAAGAACCAGGTTTAGCTAAACTAGTACATCCCACTATTTGCATTTATTTATACAAAAGCAACTGTACATTTAGTATTTCCCTGAGTATTTAAAAGATCGCAACCCAACTTTCACAATTATCAATTTCATGACTAATAGGGATGCCTTAAATAGTTCGAAGTACTGACGGGAAGCTGCTGTAATCAAAGGAAATAAAGCACATATAACAGTAAGTGTATGACTGAGCTAACATTTTTCAGCTCGCGATTGTGTCAACACACAGTGGATCAAAAAATAAAAGACAGAGTGATAATAGTTTTCATCAGCTATATTCACACAATTTAAGTAAAGGCACAGATGGAAAACATTCCAATTGCGAAATGTTAACAGGAGGTATTAAGAGGAGGAAGAACAATTAAGTCAAGCAATGAGCTATTTATGATTTCAGCTGCCTTGCATCTTGAATTTGCTTTACCACCATGTGGCTGTGGTTATTTTTTAAGTGAGCTTTGACCTGAATATACTAATAATTTTTCAATTTGATGCAAATGTGACACTTTTTAAACAACAACTAATAAAGCACTGTCCTCAGTACAAACGGTAAAAGTACTTTTGTTCTTCTTCCGTTCTTCCTAATGTCCCTATCCCCACCTGTTTTGTACAGTTTTAAAGAATTTGTCATCAAAACCAAATGTGTCAATAGACTAGAATAACATAATGAGAAAATGGTCTGTCTTTAAAGCATTAGCTTTTAAATTTCTTCGGGGCAGAAACCTATCTTAATTTAATAACTAAGCATTTAGTATACTTTTAAATAATAGAAGCAAAATGTCTTTTTGAAAAAAGGAATGCATAGAATCATATGATTTACCAATACTCATATAAACACACCACTATCAAATATACTCGCAAACAACATTGTCCTAAATTTAATTTTAGCCTGTGATTCAGGAAGAATTTTATGCCGTTTCTAGTCTTAAATCAACAGTATGAACATTGATAGATGATGACAATCAGATTTGAATTATTTTAGCTTTTAGTCATTTAGATTTTTGAGTACAGTAAAATGTACATTATCTTCCAAGGGTGTTTAAAGAGCATGAAAGGCTTTCAAATTCTCCCCTTTCCTCTAAATTGGCTTAAAGTATATTTCTTCATTTCTTAACATGGTTCAGGCTCTGAGAAACATCTCTAGTAGTAATTAATAAAGATGAAACACAATTGTATGACAAGAGTCTTTATAAATATAAGCCCCATGACAGTTTTTTGGCTCTCAGTTGAACTCTTCTCTTGCCAAAGGAGTTAACAATCTTATGTCTGCTATAAGAACCTACCAAAGCCAGCTTGTACGTTTTTCTGACACTTTAAGCAACAAAGTAGAGAAGGGAACTGGCAGGTAAAATGGAAGGTACTTACAGAGAGCCTTTCCAAAGTAAGACAGCGCACTTCTTTCTACACTACTCCACATCATCTATACCTAGAATAACTCAGCAGCCACTACACATGTTTGACAGGTCCCCTCACTTCTAAGACTTTTACTAAAGGAGAGGCGAAGGGATTCCCTCAACTTGCATTTCATAGTAACTCATAAAGACTGAATATGAGGGAGAGAAAACTGCTTTATGTCATAAACAGCTCACAATGAATTCGTTCATCCCATAAACATTTGTGGGTAGCCTCCCCACTTGTCCGCCAAAACATGCCATTAAACATGACCCTGTTAGCCTCTGGGTCCATACATGAATGAATTGTAATCAGTGTGCAGGTATAATGTCGACCTCTTTGCTTCCTCCCCTTGGTGTTTGTAAACTCACATAGAGGCAATCAGAGAGGAGGAACTGATCCAGGTCTTCATTTAGATCTTCACTGTCATTGTATTGCTCTAGCTTCTCCTCTTGTCTGTGAATGGTCATCGGTGCTATGGTACAAAGTCTTCCAATCCATGGGAGAGCTTTCTCAGTCTCTGCCTCTGCGGTTCTACAAACTAGGTTCACCTGTCCTCGCTGCCTCTATTGAATACATTTTTACCTATGCCACCTTAATTACTCTTCCAAATCATAATTGCTATAGCCTATATTTAAGTAATGCTTAAAGGCACAGTTTTTAATGCCTTTAACTGTTTGCTTCAAGTTTATAATGGGTAAAATGTATATAAACATCAAATTAAAATGAAATAAAAACTTCAGAGAGGACTGTCAAGGTCATTTTCTCATGTTTTACCTTTCATTCAATATGAAGTTTCCTTCATCACCCCTCAAAACACTCTGGTCACACCCTTCTGTAGCAGCAAGAGTTAGAAGATGGACCCTTTGTCACTCAATGTGTATGTTCCTGTGTACAAAGCAAAATCTATTTTCAAGTAAACTTCAGGCATCAACAAAGATTTCTTCTGAGTCCATCAACAAAATCCCAAGAATTTATTAATGATGTCTCCTTAATACTTTCAGCTTTATTCATATTACTGGTAAAGCACTTAGCATACTCCCATTGTCACTAATTTTTTTTATCTCCCAAAGATATTGCAACTTGCTTGAAAGCAGAGGAGTTATATTTTTATTTACATTTCTATTGCCTAACTCAATTCTTGATACATTGTAGTTGTCAGTTATAAAATGGATACATGAGTTAATAAAAAACATTATTTTTGGGGGGTGAAGCCCAGTTTTAATTGGGTCTAACTGCTTCATTCTTTTCACAATGTATCCATCTGTTAGTAATCAAAGTGGAAAAAGCAAGCATTTAATTTTACTTAAATAATATTACGTGATGAGAGTTAACAAGAAAGTTGTAATTTCATTTTGACTATTCTTCTAGAGTAGGGGGCACAGTCACAAGCCAGGTGATGGTCTTCTTATTTTCCACTTGGCACTCAAACCAAGGTGAAGAATAGATCATCCAGTGTCTCATTTTCATTACTGCCCTTTAATGAAACATCCAAACTATGCCACCCTGGGGCAAAGGCTTGGGACTATCTGAATGGCCAAAGACTTGAGTATAGATTATGTGGCCATCTCCTGATAGTAGCATCTTTTGATTGAATCAGAAGCAACACTTCTGAGCATGTACTACTCTTCCCACCTCATGCTTTCTTCTTACCTCGATTCCAAAGACTCTGACTCAGCCTTAGTGACCTAAGTGCACATGATGATGAATAGTCTGAAACGAAGTCAGTCTGATAGTGCTCACAGTTTGGAATAAATATTTTCTGCCAATGTGAAATCCTGCTTTGTGTGGGAGGAGGGTATTTTCGAACAGTGTCAACTGAATAATGTTGGCTGATACTCACTTTGTTTTCAACTGGCAGGCATAAACAAATGAACAGATTTATTCCTTCTGTTACTGTTATCCTGACACAAGTCATAATACTCTAGAAAGTGCTTAGTACTTGGAGGAGTGTGTGGGGTAGAACAGGCACATCAAACCTTATTTTAAAAAATATTGTACTAATTGGAGGTTTGGGGATCATAAAATGCTAGAGATAAAAGCAAATCGAGAGCTCATCACGTCATTATATTTTCTCTTATAATTTTGTCAACAAATACAAAAATAGGTAAAGAAAATCTCCAACACCTTTGGACATCTTTTATGGAGCCCTTGGGATTTATACTCTCTATATTTTAGATAACTTCTTACTGCCTTTGGATTCAAAAAGGAATATACAAACATTTTTCTGATCTTAATGACTTTTGCCATTTGTGAAATTATTCATAGCCACTTTTTTAATCATCTTTTTACAGTGTATACAGAAATAATTCTACATTCTGTGTACACCCTACAGACTCCTAGAGAGAGGAATAGGGTAGTTCTGGTAAGAGGCAGTTTCAGGTTGGGAGGATCATTGATGCTGAGGCTTAAAACTGTCAGAATAAAGTACTAAGAAATGTATAAAGGAAGAATGAATGGAAAGGAAAACTACAAAGCAGTAAAACCTTACAGTAGTACAAACAGTGATATTTGGCAGAATTGCAAAGCAATTAAGAGAAGGATCTAGACTCCCATCATCTTGCTTCCAATTTCTACTCTTCTCCTTGGGAAGCAATTTTCTCACATGTAGAAAATGGAACTCATGACAACAGCACCTACTTGATAGTTGGAGAAATGAAATAATAAATAATGCAAAGTAATAAAATGTGCCTGAGAAAAATAGTGAATCTTTAATTAATATGTGTGTTAGCATAAACAGTGAAGTGAGAAGTAAAAGAAAGAAACAATATTCTCTTTGGTATTTTGTACATGCATATAGTTGAATAAATTAAAGAGATACAAAAGTATATACACAGAAATGTATAATCACAGTTATAGCTTACTTCAGATACATAG